GTGTGTGTGTGTGTGTGTGTGTGTGTATATATATATATATATACATATCTTATATATATACTATATATATATTAGTAGCGGTGATGTATAGTTTTTGCGACGTCTTTTCCGACTTCTTGAATGAGTTGAAGAACAACAAAATTAACACTTTTGGAATGGCCTAGTCAAAGTCCTGATCTGAACCCAATTGAGATGCTGTGGCATGACCTTAAAAGGGTGGTTTTTGCTTCATTTTGGCTGAATTGTGGCTGAAAGATCAGTAGGCTAAATTCCTCCAGTGCTGTAACAGACTTAAAAGTTGTTGTTGCTGCTATGGCTATTAGGTTTAGGGGACAAATACTTTTTCCCATTAACTTGTTTGATATCTTTAAATGTATTATCCTTCTATGCCTAAAGACATTGGACAACCACACTCTTGATACAATGGATATACTGTATCTGTGTAATATAACGGTTTTATTTAAATGCACCAACATATATTGACATGGTTCACTCAATGTGTGTGTGTATGTTTGTGTGTGTGTGTGTGTACGTTGGAGGTGGTGTGTTCATTTATATGTGTTTGTGCTGCAGGGTTAAGAGTGTAAAGCTGGCTGTCCTTATCTCAGAGGTCAGCAGAGTCTGACAGGTCGTCTATACTGGTTAATCTTTGGCTTTGTCTGCATGTTGAGTGTGCGCTACAGGGAAACGCTGAGCCGCCTCACTAGACCGCATTACAGGCATCACTGCTGGCCAGTCAGCTTATGCTGCCTTTTAAGATAGTTTGTATTGTTCCAGTTCAGGGTCGTGTCATTAAGTCTGATTAAAAAGCAAAAAGCAGCTCTACACTGATGCTGTATTGGCAGCAAAGAAGAGGAATTAGTGTGAGTTATTGTGGTCTAAAAACAGGCGTTTAAGATTCATTGTCCAACCTCTATATATATATATGGTGTAGGGCCTCCTTTTGCGGCATTAGTTGATCTTGGTAATGACAGATGCATGTTCTGCTGAGTAATTTTTGAGCCATTCTTCTTGCAGAACAGTAGCCAGGTCTCAACGTGATGCTCCTGGAGGAAAACATTTCCTGATTCGCTCCTCCAAAACACCCCAAAGTACTCATTAATATTTGGTTCTGGTGACTGTGCAAGCCATGGCTGATTGGAAACTTCACTTTCATGTTCATTAGACTACTCTGTCACTAGTCTTGCTGTGTGTATTGGTGCATTATCCTCCTGATACATGACATTGCCTTCAGAATACAATGTTTGACCCGTTGGAATGGTTGGTTAGTCCTTGGCAGTGACGCTTCATCTAGCACAAGTATTGGGCCCAGGGAATGCCATAATGCGGGAGCCCAAACCATCACTGATCCACCCCCATGTTTCACTCTGGGCATCAGCAGTCTAGGTGGGACGCTTCTTTGGGGCTTCTTCACACTGTAACTCTCACATATGTGGGAAAGACAGTGAAGGTGGACTCATCAGAGAACAGTATATGTCTCACATTGTGAACAGCCCAATATTTTTTTTTGCTGCTGGCACCATTTGCGATTGGTACGTGTGACCAGAATTTTGGTTATAGCAGCCCATCATTTGTTCATTCAGTTATTTATTCATTTGTTTATTTGTTCATTCCCCGCAGGCACACAGCATCATTAGATGTTAACAATAGGTTAGATTTAGATCATGATGTCAGGTGATCAAAATTCAATGTTTAGCCAGCGTCTAAGGACAACATTATTTTGATGTCCAATAATGACGTCAAATTACGTTGATATTTGGTTGATTTTAGGTTGTGTAGGAAAGTGATTAAAATCTAACGTCTGACAGAGATTTCATAGTGGTAACGTCCACACAACATTGTAACATGAATAGGCGTTGATATTTAGTTGAATTTAGGTTGATTTTAAGTTGGACATTGGACATTGATGTCAGCCTTATGTTGGGTTCTAATGTCAACCCGGTTTTCATTTCCAACCAAAATCCAATGTCCCCATGACGTTGAGGTAGAGCGTAAATATGACGTCATGTTGATGTCCTTTGCCTAGAGGGTTCTTAGGTCGTTTTTTTTTTTGCTTAATCCATCATTCTTTTGATCATTCATTCGTTTGTTTGTTTGTTTGTTCACTCGTTCATTCATTCGTTTGTTCGTCTGTTTGCTTGCTCATTCAATCGCTCCTTCGTTCAATCATTTGTTTGTCCACTCCCTTGCTCATTCGTTCGCTCCTTCATTCGTTTGTTCGACCGCTCGCTTGCTCTTTCAACCGCTCCTTCGTTTGTTCATTTGTTCGTCCATTGGCTTGCTTATTTAATCGCTTCTTCGTTCAATCATTTGTTTGTCCACTCCCTTGCTCATTCGTTTGCTCCTTCATTCGTTTGTTTGTCTGTTTGCTTGCTCATTCAATCGCTCCTTCATTCATTTGTTCGTCCATTCACTTGCTCATTCCTTCGCTCCTTCATTTGTTTGTACGTCCGTTCGCTTGCTCATTCAATCGCTCCTTCGTTTGTTCGTCCGTTCACTTGCTCATTCGTTTACTCCTTCATTCGTTTGTTCGTCCGTTTGCACGCTCACTCAATAGCTCCGTTTGTTCGTTTATTCATTCGTTCGCTCCTTCATTCGTTTGTTCGTCCGCTCGCTTGCTCTTTCAACCGCTCCTTCGTTTGTTCATTTGTTCGTCCATTGGCTTGCTTATTTAATCGCTTCTTCGTTCGTACATTTGGTCGTCCATTCGGTTGCTCATTCTATCGCTCCTTCGTTCGTTCGTTTGTTTGTCCGTTCACTTGCTCATTCGTTCGCTCCTTTATTTGTTTGTTCGTCCGTTCGCTTGTTCATTCTATCGCTCCTTCATTCGTTCGTTCGTTTTTCCATTCACTTGCTCGTTCGTTCGCTCCTTCATTTGTTTGTTCGTTCGTTCACTCATTCATTCATATGTTTGTTCGTCCATTAAATTTCTTGTTGGTTCACTCCTTCATTCGTTTGTTTGTCCGCTCGTTTGTTCGCTCGCTCGCTTTTTCGCTTGTTTGTTTGTTCGTTTGTGCATTCTTTGTGATGTTGTTGACTGAAATTAGTGTCAAATCAGAAGAGCAATGATATATAATCTGAATTGCATGCTTAGACAACTTTTTTTTTTTTTTTTTAAATCATCTCTTTTTTTACTGTTGGGTAGTTGAAATGCCCCTTGGACTCTCATCCTGAATGACATAATCAGTCCGACACACTGATGATGGATTTGTGTCTGTCCAGTGAAAGCTCCAGTCAGTCAGTCAGTCTTGAGTCTCCAGAGCCGCTGTCTCCTCCTGCTGTTTCCACAGTTATCACCACACTTTTGTCCAGCCCGACACAGAGCTCTTAAACCCAGAGATAAGCACAGTGTGTGTGCACGCGCGCGCGTGTGTGTGGATTGAGGAGCAGCTGAGAACATCACTGCTGTTGATGCTGACATTTTGGCTCGGGCACCGAGAAGCCGCGCGCTAATAAAAGAGCAGTCTGATCCAGAGACTCAGACACCCGCCAGATCCCGACAGCTGGACACACACACGCACCCAGAAAACCTGCCGGACACACACAGACCCTGAATACCTGCAGGACACACACATGGAGACAGAGGAGGCTTCACTTTACGACACAATGCATTTACATGTATGCATTTAGTCATTCAGTGGATGGGATTAGGATTTAGGATGTACAATAGGATTATGATTCACAAATCTGCAGTCATATGAAGAGTATTATCACCTCAAATATAGTCATCATCATCATCATCATCATCATCATCAGTGCTGGGGGGTTATATATGCTCTGAATTGCATGGATGGATGGATGGATGGATGGATGGATGGATGGATGGATAGATGAAAAGATGGATAAACAAACGGATAGATAGGTTGATGGATGGGTAGATAGATAGATAGATAGATAGATAGATAGATAGATAGATAGATAGATAGATAGATAGATAGATAGATAGATAGATAGATAGATAGATAGATAGATAGATAGATTAATGGATGGGTGGATAGATAAACTGATGGATGGACGAATAGATGGAAAAATAGATGGATAGATGGATGGATGGATGGTTGGATGGATGGGCGGATAGATAAACTGATGGATGGACAGATGGATGGATGGATGGATGGATGGATGGATGGATGGATGGATGGATAAATAATGGATGGAAGGATGGATGGATGGATGGATAGATTGATAGATAGATGAATGGAAGGATAGATGAATGGAAGGATAGATAGATAGATAGATAGATAGATAGATAGATAGATAGATAGATAGATAGATAGATAGATAGATAGATAGATAGATAGATAGATAGATAGAGAGATAGAGAGATGGGCGGACAGATAAACTGATGGATGGATGGATGGATGAATGAATGGATGGAAAGATGGATGAGCAGATAGATAGATAGATAGATAGATAGATAGATAGATAGATAGATGGATAGATGGATAGATGGATGGATGGATGGATAAATAATGGATGGAAGGATGAATGGATGGATAGATTGATAGATGAATGGAAGGATAGATAGATAGATAGATAGATAGATAGATAGATAGATAGATAGATAGATAGATAGATAGATAGATAGATAGATAGATAGATAGATAGATAGATAGATAGATGGAGAGATGGAGAGATAGAGAGATAGACAGACAGATGAATAGATGGGCGGACAGATAAACTGATGGATGGATGGATGGATGAATGAATGGATGGAAAGATGGATGAGCAGATAGATAGATAGATAGATAGATAGATAGATAGATAGATAGATAGATAGATAGAGAGATAGAGAGATAGACAGACAGATGAATAGATGGGCGGACAGATAAACTGATGGATGGATGGATGGATGGATGGATGGATGGATGGATGGATGGTCTATTTGTAACGACTTTATTTGGAGGGGCACATTTTTAGCATTAACAAACATGAATCAACAAGTAAATATGGTAGCCATTATTCACTCTCGGTGTAGATCATGTTAGTTCATGATTATTGCTCATCATTAGTTCATAATACTGTTTAATAGACCTATTATTACATCAATAGTCATGTACAGTTATTATAAAGCATGTTCATAGGTGCATCTTTAAATTCCTTATTGTTCTAATGTGTTCATATGATGAATCCTTGTATTTTCTTGTATCTTTGATTTTCCATGTTGCTGTACTGCCTTGGGTTTTAGAAAAGCACATTATAAATAAAATGCATTAATAATATCACAACAGATGAAGCAAACGTCAAACGAGCGAAGAAGGAGAGCATTTCAGGAGAACAAGTTTGATTATTGCCACAGTTTCCAATTGTAAAACACAATACAATGCGACACAAATACCCGAGGTGTGATGTTTTTTCAGGCTACATCGTCACTCATGGGATAAAATAGTGAGTTAATGGAAAATGCTCACTGTTTTAAAAGCATCCGGGCACTGCTGCACATCTAAACCAATTAATAAATGAAATAAAAGTTAATATAGTTAGCTACAATCCAGCTCTGGCCGCTGTGTGATGTTCATTTTAATGTGGAAAGTGTCACAGCTTGATTACAGTCATTTTATCTGCAACGAGAGAAAAAAAAAGTGTGTTATTTTAATATTTTAACGAGAAACTCAAGTGGGTTTCACTGTCAGGAACACGTTCAGGTCACATTTCAGGAATACTAAATAGTTTTCATTGTAGCTGTGTGATAAAACAAGTTTGTAACTTGGATGCATTGCATGTCGCTTTGGGTATACTGACATTTGGACTATACTGATAGTAGTATATTTATCATTTTTTAGGTCTTCTGAATTTATTTAGTTGCTGAAATATCTTTGGCATTATGGAAAAAATGCACAAGAATATGCATTGTAATATGCATAACTTCAATAAATTAAACATATTGTACTTTAATGTTACGTTTGCATATCTATTTATTTATTCATTTATTTATTTTTTTATTTTTTTATTTATTTGTTTGT